ACCGCGAACCAGTGTGATTAGTATCGCCGATCCCACCCTGAATATATCTGCATAGGCTGCATAACCCGTCATATCTGGTCAAGTCGTTATGTATCGCCTGTAACGAGCTGTTCTCGAGTACTGGTGTGGTGTTGTGAGCTGAGAAAGTCCTACCCAGTTGACGATATGGTTACGTTGCCAACAACCAGACAACTTGGAGCTGTACTTGCTTGACTTGTCGCAGATCAGATTCCTGGTAAAAGAAAATGATCATCGCGGATAGTTGCAGACACAGGAGGCCAGTAAGCGAGCTTGATTTGTCTGCAACTCAATAGCAGTAAGGCCGAAGGGTGGAACGCGCAATGGCGCGGCAGTAGGGTGGCCATCCGGCGATGGGTCTCTGCCATGTAAACGAGACCCCTTGCGTGCACATTAATCCATTCCAGCCATAGTGTCTGAATAATAGCCACGCACAATACATATGCCAAACCGAACCGCGAATGAAGGCGTTGACAATCATACACTGTCACCGTTTGAAACATTGGCGAAGTGCGCCTCGGAATATCGCCGAGGCGAAAATAATATGAAAAGAGGACGATTGGGACGTTGATTTCGCCTGCAGTTGCCCACATTGATGACGGTGGGACGACGTCCCATGGGATTCATTGACCCAATGTCGAGAAAATTTTCGACGATAAACCCGATGCGCGGCGTCAGATTGCATTGTTATCGTCGTGCAGCTATGGGCCGGATCAGACCGCGTATATTTGCAGTTTGTAGGAGACTGTTATTCCCTCTTTGCAACGTAAAGGGCAGCGTCGGGCAACCGAAGCTGCGATTCTTATGGAGGTAAACAACAGAGCCAATCTGAGATCCATGGTCGAACAGAGGCCCCGACAGATCGCAAGGCCAGGTGGAGGAGAGGGGCCACCGGGGACCACCGGAGACGGCACACCCCTGGATTCCGATTACGATGTGAGTTGCGAAAGCGCTGCAGGCTGCACTCTGCCTTCTTTTCCCCCTGCTTTTGCAGCAGCTCGGAGGTTTTGATGCAGAAGGACTTTTCCAAGGTGCCATCAGTCGACTCCGGCCGCCGTTCCCACCCGCCGTGGATCCCGTGTAGCGCAAGGTGAATCCAGCCTTGGACGGCCAACACCGTAACCGTAAGCGATCCATTGGTCCGTCCGGTGAGGAAAAAGAGACTTTGCAGTGCCAACTGGTGGTGGTAAACGTAGGTGCAGCCGGACATCCAAGAGACGGAATGCCATATGAGGTCCCCAACTCTGGCTGCTATATATTCCAAGAACCGCACGGGTCCATTGAGGTTGTTGAAAGGCGAAGAAATGGGCATGGAATCATTCGCTCTCAGTGCCCTTCTCTGCCGAGCTGTTGCCGGGGTTTACGGACGGACGACAGGAAGGGACCCCGGGTAGGTGGCCGGCTCTGTAGTGATGCCAAGTAGGAGGGTGGTATAGTGACAGTTCGGTTGAGGAGGCAGAGGTCGAGACTCCAAAACGGACAGGCAAAAAGGGCATTGTTGCGAGCTGTCAAACACCAATGGCGCCGGGGTGGGTGCGAGGGTGAGGTGACAGTGACAGACGGGTTTGACGGGCACGGTTGACGGGCAGTGGGGAATACGCCACGCAGCCTCGTGGTGGTGACGGGAGTTGGGAAATGAGGCGGGAGGCGGAAGGCGGGCGTGATACGAGGCGCTTAACAGGAGGAGGCAGCGTATACCCCTGGCCTGGCCGGTCGAGGGCTTCCGTTGAAGGCGACTCGAGGTGGACGAAGGTACCGATCGTCAGTCAAGATGGTGCCTTAACTCGGTCCTGAACTGAGGCTTTCGGTTTCGAGGCGGCGAGGCAGTGGCGGAAGGCAGGGCTGGTGAGCCTTAATGGCCAGCCTATGGCGATGATCACCCAGAGAGCGTAGCTCCTTGCACCTGGTTGGCAGCGCCAGGAGGGCCCAATGCCAAATGGTGACAAACACACAAGAAGTGTGTTTGTCGTTTGGCAGGCAAACAGCGGCAGACGCCAGATTGGGAAGTGCGGCTTGTGTATTCTGCGGGTGGTGCAATTTCTTTAGGACGAAAATAAGTGCTGACGGTTTGAGGTTCCGACTTCATCCTTGAACGGGCCAACGAGCAAACGGAAGATTGCCCAAGGGACCTGGGGGACTTGGGGACCAGCCCGAGGAACTGGCACTGCAGCAACGCAGAAAGAGACGACGGGATGTGTCTGGCTGCTGCCGGCTGCTGCTGGTATTGCTTCTGCTGCTGGCGACGCCTGAAATTGAGAACTGGTGGTCAAGGTTGCGAGAGGATTCCCGGGTGTGGCTTTCGACATAGCCATTGCTGCATATTGCACAGGTAGGTAGGTAGGTCGGTATGAAGGTGTGAGGATAGACGTTCGCCAGGCAAGTGCAATGAGAACTGGATGAGATGGGAAGTACCGTAGGTAGGTCCGTCCGTAGGGGACCGTAGGACCTGGAACTGGAGCTGGGCGGGAGCTTGGGGCAGAACTCGACCCGGCACCGGCACCTCAGGGGCGTGCAACGACACCCGCGTGCCTTCCCTTCCTTGCGCAGTGCCTGAGGACGGTACGTATCTAGATTCGACCTCGTCTACCAGGTGGAGTACGTACCCAGAAATCTTCCCATTCCCCACTCACAGCAGCTGCAGGCGGGTATCCACTGCATCTGGGTGCACCTCTGGGCAAGCAGGTACGTACCGCTGCGTCTGCGTCTGCGTCTGCGACTGTCTGCGCCTGCGGTGCCTTGCACCTCGCACCTCGCACTCGACCACTTCCCACCCCATCACCATCACCTTCAACTCCATCGACATTTTACCTGCCACACCCCTCCCCTTCCTCTCTTGGGTGCCAATGGGATTTCCAGTCCCTCCCTGCCGTCAGTCCCGCCCGCCTGCACCAAAAATTAAGAACCCAGCGGTCAGGGAACCCCTTGCCGTGATATCCTGGTCCTCTGCTTCTCCGTCGTCCATGTCTGACTTTGCTAGACATTTTTACTGCGCATACAAGAGACACTCTGGAAACCCATGTTCACGCCTTCAACTTGGCCTTTGGCCAACTGTTGCGTTAGGCTGTTAGACTGCTGCCGAGTCCTCACCTCGGCGCTGCCCTGTCTTCCTCTACGAACCTTACCTCATGGAGACTCCTGCTTGCTATCCGACCAGCATCTTTGCAGCTCATCCTGCTGGCTGACCAACACAGCCTTCTGCTGGATTGCCATGGGCATCAACACCGTCATCGCCATCACCGATCGACCTCACCCGTGACCTAACCTCCGCCCTACGTACGAAGACACGCCTTGTCAACCATATTATCTCCACCCCAGCTCGATTTACTGGCTGTACGATGCCCTCGCGTCCTGTCAGGTACGGGAAACCACCAAGACACCATCACTCTTCATCATCCTAGGCACTATCCAGATGACCATCTCAGTGCCAGACTGCCCTGGCTGGTGCGTGGCGCGCATTTCTCCATCGTCCAAAGCCTCTTGGTATTGCGTGTCTATCAGGATCGATATCTCTCTCTCTCTCTCTATCTCTTCTCACATTGTCTTGACGCCTTTAGAAAGTCCCTCTGCTACCTTCCCCTGCCTCGCCTTGCCGTCCGGCTGCAACATCAGAGCTCCCGGCGATCCTAGCCTGCGACTAAAAGCAATCATGGCACCCCATTTGGGCGAGATCTGGCCTTCACCCAAGTGGGATGTCACTATGGCGCACCTCGAAGAAGAATAAGCAAAGAGGCTTCGAGCCCACGGCAACCAAGCAAAACTCCAGAACCGACCAGAGATGCACAGGGCTCTCTTTATTTGAAAAATCCTGAACATGCTTGTTTCAAACTCTCACCACCCGGCTGCCAATCCTCATCCCCCGCGTCGTAGTGATCGGACGGGTATCGAAATCACGAGAACTCGACTGTCGTCGTCTGTAGACGCTGTTCGAGGTACAAACACGAATACCAGTCCCCTGTTCCCCTGATCCAAGCTTAAGCCAAGTGGCCAGCTCTCTCCAGTACAGCCCATGTTTACAGAATGTCTCATTCCTTTACTTGAGAACCCGAGGTGGCCAGATCGACTGCTTTTCCCCTCAGTTCGATCAGTCCGAGAATCGTCCTTCTACCTAAGCTGGGACGGCGGATTGGTTATTGGGTTTTCGTCCTCAGCTCCTCTGGGAACGCCAGTCGCCGTTCGCCGCCGCCTCCACCATCTATGGACTTGAGCAGTCAGTCTATTAGCCTCTCTCTCTCTCTCAGAGACATGAGTGCATCCCACACTACCTATTGCCTTACACTAGTCGCAGGCATGGACATGACGCCTCTCACACCACTCCCACCCCCAAGACCATGACCTACCCCTCCCCTCCCCTCCCGTCTTTCGCCCACCCTGGACGACAAGGACTTGAGCTCGTCTACGAGTACCTCGACAGGGCCTTGACCCGCCCAGCGCCCATGCAGTCTCCCCCCTACCCCGGCTTTCTGGATGTCCTCCGTCTTGCTAGTTGTAGTGGGGGTCGATTTCCACCAAACCTCCATGTTCTTGTTCTGGCCGTCAACTATTCTTTTTCTCAAGCAGCCCACTCTTTGGGTCCTGCTGGTCTCGCTTTCGATGCATGTATATTTAGTGCTAAGATCTCCGGGAACCCAATCTAGTCGATTGGCTTCGGAATACAATCTGACCCTAGCAGCACATCAACCCATCCCCTCCGGAGCGTGTATACGTCCTTCTGCCTTCCCAGGTCTATAACTACATACATCCTCCTTTCTTTCTCCAGCCCACGAGATCACGAACCTTGATTTCTCGAGTCATCATCTTTCTACTCTATTCACTCCTTCCTTTTGATATATTCCACCGACTCACCCTCCTTGTCTGCTCCTCATCCTTCTCTTGACCCAGACCAGGAATTATTCAACTTGACACCGTCCACCATCACCTCAACCAGCAAATCAGTAAACATCCTGTGCCATATCACCACGCCATAACCGCCTGGCTTCATCCCAATGGCCCTCACGGAATCACCAGCCGCACCCCAGGCTTGGGGCCGTTGGCAGCAGCATCATGCTGCCAACGAATACGCTATGATGGATAATTCGAACTTTGTGCCCTACGATGCGAGGGCGGCAACGACTGCCCCAATGAACGGCGCCATCATGGCCCCTCAGTACATGGTCGGAAACCATTACGGCGTTGCTTCTATGCCTAACATGGGACACCCGTGCCCGACTCAGAACCACTTCGCTTACGCCCAATACGACTCCCCTCCTACCAACATGAACATGCCTTTCCGACTTCCCGCGCAGCAGGAGCGCCAGATGATGCCTATTGCGGCACCTGAGCATGAGGTTCCTCGCGCCAGCTCCTACCCTCAGGAGAGCCCTTCGGCCCAGAACGACCGCCACCGCAGCCCTTCAACCAAGAGCGAGACGAAACTGAGCAACCCGAAGACACCTCACCCCCTCAACACCAAGGACATCAAGTACAACAAGCCCACCAGTGCCGAGACGGTCAACTTCACTACTGCCATTGACACTCTCATGAAGGCGATCCAGAAGAGAAACGACTCGGAAGACATCGTGAAGGGCGTGCCTGAGATCGAGAAGGTTGTCAAGCCTGAGCCCAGATCTCCTCGTCCCCGGCCTGCACCCCAACCCACAGTTCAGGTACGTCTCAGAAAGATCGAATAATTTCAACACTTTCTGACTTTCAACAGGTTGTGACACAGGTCGAGACTCCCACAGAGTCGTCGGATGCGCCGAAGCCCAAGAAGTACATTTGCGACGTGGATGGCTGTGGCAAGAGTTTCTACCAAAGCACTCATCTCGATACCCACAAGCGCGCCCACACCGGAGAAAAGCCTTACGTAGGTGCTCATTGCTCTCTAGCTATCCGCTTCATCCTAATCCATCATAGGCATGCAACTGGCCGCGATGCGGACGCACGTTCTCGCAGCCCGGGAACCTGAAGGTGAGACTCTTTCGTGTACGACCAAACGACACTAACTGACTCCCAAAAGACACACATGCGCCGTCACACTGGCGAGAAGCCCTTCCGCTGCGAGCAGTGCAGCAAGGTTTTCGCTCAGCGCGGCAACCTGCAGACGCACATGGCTACCCACACCAATGCCAAGCCCTTCGTTTGCAAGCTTGACCAGTGCAACAAGATGTTCACACAGAGAGGCAACCTCAAGGTATGCAATCCTTTGGAGATGTCAGGAACAGCTTCTAATCAATGAACAGAACCACCAAAACAAGTATCACGAGAAGACGCTCATGGAGCTGACCGACTGGATCGTTTCCCTCTCTGATATCGATGGCCTCTCTGACGAGGACCGAGAGATGTACTGGTACTTCGCCAACCTTTACAAGAATAGCAATAAGGGTATCAAGGGTCGCGGCAAGGACCGCAGGGTTAGCAACGCCAACCGCGTTTCCAAGTCCCGAACCGCCCCTTCATCTTATCCCGTCAAGCGGGTTCCCGGCCCTACCAGCCTGGCAGCATACAGCTCCAAGCGCCTTCCTCCTCCGGAGCAATACGTGCACCACCACCAGCACGGCTACGACGTTTACGACACCGACATGGACCAGTCCTCGAGCGCCAGCAGCCCCAGGTACGACGGTCTTCCTCCCGCCTACCGCGACCGCATGTACACGCAATCCACCCACGCGATGTACTGAGTCCCGCACTGGCGGGAGCGTCACACGGCAATACGGCTTCTCGAATGAATAAACGGAAATGATTCAACAAGGGAGATACCACGGGAACGGTACGGAGTCAAAAGATGAGAAAAGCAACGAGACAACCTGCCACATTCGGAAAAGAAAAAAGACCACAGGCGCATCTAGGTGACGGGGAAGATTTCCTCAACGGCACACTTCGGAAAAGAAGCGTGATTTTCATTATTGGTAATTCTTGGGATGGGAGGTTGTCTGAATATTTGTTTCCTGTCTATTTCTTTGGCGTCATGTATCTTCACGCTTTCCCTCTTTGCCCTCTCCTCGAGAGCGGCGCACGTCTTACTTTTTCCCTTCGATCATCTACTTTTGCGGTCAAGGTTGTATTTTCATCATCGGAGAGTGTACGAAGGTGCAGAACGTGGCTGTCGAGCGGTTCATCATTCTTTTCTTTCTGACAATCTTTCCACTGAAAACATGGTCTATACCTTTTTCTCTCTCTTTTACAAACGTTATTTATACGGAGTGGACATATTTTTACGGGTCACGACTGTGAAAGGAAAATGGAGGGGATTGCATCACGGGAGTTATTAGACAACCACGGGATCGGGATGAGTGTGATTTGACGGTCAACGGTGTACTGGGAGGGCATTCGCATCAGAGTTACTAGACTCTACAGAGATACCCTTGGGAAAGATGCATGGCGGGCGGACGCCAGGAAACGGGGATCGGACAGCGTGGCAACACGAGGGGGACTCGAGGAGTTGGTTCAAGCGTTGAAATTTTCTGTTTGTTATTTTATATCTTCCCCAGTCATTTCCCGTTTGTTATGCGAACGATTGGACCGATAGGAAGGATCCCGAGATCATGCACCCCTTGCTTGCGGCGGCGGACGCATGACATGTACGTACGAGAATTAAGGATTATTGATACCTACCAACCACATAAAGACATACATGATTACTATTTGAAAAGATGCTTGAACAGACCTTTCTCAAACGGGACAAGAGGATTCGATACTTGGGCTGCAATGCAGGTCTTTACGCTGGCCAGCTACATGTCTCGCCCCAAATCCTGTGTGATGTCGGCTCGCCGGGTAGCTGGGGACAATCCGGAGGCCCCCTCCGCCATCTTCACGCCAACACGACACGTTAGTGACGGTATAGACTTGGCCCTTGGAGAGTCAATGGAGGTGCCTTTCTTGCTCACTTGCTCTCACATCACAGACTAAGCCTTACCGAATCAAAGCCGAAAAACTACGACTACATCGGGAAAAGAGCCCTTGATGCGCTGTGGCAAAGAAGCGGTCTGCGGCTGCACGACACAACACTCCCGCACTTTGGTGTTTTTTTGCGCAGGCAAGAGGAGAAAATCTCCCCCAGAGGCTGGTTGGCATAGGTCGGAGATTGCATGATGATGGCATTGGCTGCTGTGTGGCTGAGGATAGCCGCGCTTCTAACTGGTCCTGGTCCCTGATCCAGACTGGCTGGGGTTGGAAGCGTTGGTGATGGTGGTGAAGGGGAGGGGGGAGTGCACATCGGACTGTGAGTGCGACCAGAGGGGGCCCAGCCAGCCTGGCGGAGAAGGGAGTGCTTTCTGCACATCCTGCGCGGGAGACGAAAAAAAACAAACGAAAACGCAGGGGAGGGGTGCTGGTGGGAGGGGGAGGTGTGCTGCTGCGTGTTGCATGTCCTGCAATGGAAGGCCAGCCTGTTTGTATTGGATGCTGCAGGATGTTGGATGAACCCCCACATACCTAGTCAGGTACATCCGTACATGGCCGGCCATTTTCTTTTCGTTTGCTTTTTTTCCTACCCGCCTCCGGGGGGCATCTTTGGGGTAGTAGCAGTAGGAGATTAGACGCGGGAGTGTGTGTGTGCAAATTAGAACGGTAGGTTGTCTCGGTGTGCCTGAAGAGAAGGGGATTAATGAGAGACATTTTTCTACCCGTCCTCGATGCTACTGTGCTGTGTGCTCTTGGCTCTTCTAATTCCCGAAGGCAATTAATCAAACGAAAGAAAATAATCCCCGTTCCCCACGCACGCACGTAACTAACAACTGCCGCAGGCCATGTGGTGTGCCCTCTGGTTTTTCTGTGTGTGATTTGCACGGGTTTCGCACGAATGCGACGTCACGGAACTGAACCCTGCAGCGTAGGAAGACGAAGGGGAGAGAGCAGGTGGGCGAGGATGGGACATGCTTGAGCGGGAAACTCCACGCGCCTGTTGGAGCCTGATACTAATGCTGCCGGTGCCGCTGATGGCTATTTGTGTTTATCACTCTGTGTCTCACCGAGAGTCACCGCGAAATATTGATCATGAGGACTGGTCTCTTGGGCATCAGCGCCCCGGTCTGGCCCCCCTCTCTAACCCGGAGAGCAATGGTTCCTGGCTTAAGATAGGCACGTATATGCAGCATGCAGACTGTAGCAGGAGGAGCATCGTGTTTTTTTGAGGCCAGAGACTTGTTGGATGAGGGGGATACCAAGGGGAGGGGGCCAGAGGAGGATGGATGACGCGACCGGGCCGCGGTCATTGGTCGCCAGCCTCGGTGTGGAATAGAGCACCGCGGTTGAAGGAGTCTTTGCGCAGGAACATGGTGGCGGGTGTATTGCGGGATGAGCATCCGTTCATCCTAGGCGTTGGGGTTTCGGATTTTGCATTTGGCATTGCCCTCTGGTCCTTGTCGGTGATGCCGACGTTATGGGAACCCCTCTCCACGTGCGTTCTTGACAAGACTGAAAAAGCAAAACGGCAAGGGACTCTGAAAATAAACAGATAACGAGATGCTAGCCTACTCGGGGCACTGTCGAAATACGAAGGGGGAAAAGTGCCTAAATCGAATGCGAATGTGCCCAAGAAAAAATCCGCATCAACCGTCGTCATCGATAGTTGGATCCCGTCCGGTGTTGGTCCGGATATTAGAGAGTGAGAGTCGGGATGGCAGGATAACTTGCCACATGCCAAGTCTGAAACGCGCGGCAGCGGGTTCGGATAAAGATCAATGCTGAGGTAATGTAACGGTTACGGATGCAAGAAATGCAGCGTTAGGCGAAAGAAAAAATATTTCGTCCCAAGTTCCTAAACGTCCATTGTTAAAGGTTGCAAGCGGGAAGGCCCGCGATGGAGATCCTCGGTGTGTGGGGTGTGGTTGCTTTACGTCCCAGATTGAGTTTCGCTAGTGTCAAAAGGCAAAACGGCGACGTTGGAGGTTGATCCAACCTCCGTTCTAGAGAGAACCGTAAACCGTATTCAAAGATTCAATGCTTTGTTCTACTTCATGTGTGATTACTGAGGCCGTATCCATCCTAAATCAAACCCCGTTAGGTTTTGATTTTGTGCAGACAGCGTCTTTGACAACCGATCATGGAGGGTTTGACAAGGGTTAGGGTTAACTGATAACACAGAGGCAAAAGGAGTTGTTGAGTTGTTGTTGAATCTACACCCGGAGAAATGCAACGCTAAAACACATCAGATGATCCATCAGTGAGATATGACTACGTCAAACTGATGCTTTGCAGTAGTGGAGCTCAAGCTACACACCCGGTATCACAACTCACCACTCGAGGTGTTCAACCGATAAGTCTCCAGTAATTGTGTCAGTAATGAGAAGCGATCATGCCCGTTCAGTTCACTCGGAAACATGAACATGCAATGCACGATGACTTACGGCACTGAAAATTCCAACTGCTACTCCGGCGGGGGGTAAATCTAACTCTGTCACTTATTCTAAAGTCAAGTCACATCTTCCAGACACACAGTACAAAGCGATCTGAGAGAACAGACCTTTGATGTTCAGTAACGCAAACTTTAAACTTAAAATCAACTACCTCTCCGTTGTCTGACTTATTTGAGCAGATTACAGGTCTTTCTTTCGCTAAGCCATTTTCAACCTTCCCTCTTCGCAAGGTCATTCTGAGGGCATTCTTTCAGGTCATCTATGATGCTTGGATACTCAACCAAAGTTTGAATGGAGTACTCTGTGCATTTACATGATGATAGAAAATCACGAAGACCACTCACCTGATTCAACTACAGTCATATTGTATTGTTTGAGAAGACCAATAAGTGATTAGACACAAACATGTTTTAGCAGAAGTAATTGGTCTCATTATGCGGGTCGTGACTCGCAACGATCAACTGTCTAGTCGCTCCTCAGAACTCACAACTCACATTCCCTCAACTCCCCGTAACATTAAACTTCTCCGCATACGGATCCCACGCCGAATCCTCATGCCACTCATACTCCATCAAATCCGCAATATACGTCGCATTCTCCCGCCCATACACATCCTGTATAAACGCCAGCGTCGCATCGATCCCCGCGCTGATCCCCGACGACGTCCACACATTCCCGTCGACAACCCACCGCGCCTTCGGGACCCAGGTGGCGTTCGGGCCGTACGCGATCGTACTCGCCCACGAGGCCTTGTTCGTCGTCGCCCGGCGCCCGTCGAGCACCCCCGCGCGCGCGGCGATCGAGGCCCCCGTGCAGATGCTGACGAGGTACCGGAGCCTCGGGTACGTGGCGCGCACGTAGGAGATGGTAGAGTCGAGGTTGGGCGAGCGCGTCCAGAGGCCGCCTGGGATCATGAGCACCTCGATGTCGGTCGGGGCGGTGGCGAAGGTGTGCGTCGGGAGGATTTTGGGGAACTGTGTGTGTTTTGTGGTGGTAAGCAAGCAACGTCTTACGATTTCGCCCAGTCGGGTTTGGGCCTCGGAGGACGAGGTTCCGCTTGAGCGGGGTGAATGATTTCCAGCCAAGAAGGACAGCAAGACTTACGAAACTCGAGTTTTTGGAGTTCATGGCGGCAGACACCGGCTCGACTGTCACCGGGTCCATCGTCTCGGCGATGAGATAGAGGTTGAGCTGGTGAATTCTCGCGAGCATGCCGAGGGCGTCCAGGGGTCCGAAGACGTCTAGCATCTCAAAAGCGCGGGAGATGATCATGCCAAAGTTTCGTGGAAGCGACGTCGGTGGGGGAGATGCAGGGGCGGTCGTCGTTGGACGCGGGATGCCTTTTTCTTGTCAGTTTTGCCGTGAGGAGGGACGGCCTCAATGTGAGGACTTACATGCTTGCACTGAGCTTCCATCTTGAGCCAGCGTCATTGTTGCGAGACATGTCAGCAACAAGCTCGAAAAAGAAGCATGCAGACGCATCTTGAAGCACACTCGAGTCCGTGGATATCAGAGTTGACGCAATATGTCTGGCAGAACATATGGGAGCAGCGGACTTCTTATCCCGATACTTCCCACGCGTCGAGACCCAGAGCTATCCTTGCTGCCATTGTTCAATGTAGGACGAGTGACATCCCTTACATGCGCAAGTAAACGGCTCAATGAATCCTTCGAGCGACAACAATATGTTTTGCGGGGTGGAAACGGATGCTGTGTTACATCCGATTGGAGAATATTCGACGACAGTGGACTTGAGTTGGTTCCGTGCGTTTTCGTTGTTTGCTGTGGAAATTGAAAATCTTGGCGCGCCCATATGAGCAAGTTTTCCATCGTAAGAACCCGATTGCCGTTTTAGGAAATGGAACTTGCTCAACCGAACCATCGGGATCTAGGCGCATGTACAGTGACATCCCCAGCGACAACGGTCAGACTGGGAAAGGACAGGGAAGATAGGTGAGCAGAAAAGTTCTAGTAGAATTATCTAATTGGCCATTAAGATTTAAAGAGTGTCTAGAAACGCCTGATATGTTGTCCTCCCATAATCCAACGCTACGCTTGTTGATGCAGTCAGAAAAGCATGTAAGCAGTTTAAGCAAACGTCTCCACAAAGCGATGATAAAAGAAAGCTCCAATCCAACCGAGAATGGGAAGCGCCGCCAGCCTTCGGGTCCAGTCGAAGCTTTTTTGGCCATTGACAGGCTTCAATGACATTCTTCGCGTGATGCCAAAAGGCTTTTCGGGAGCGGCGACCAATGCTTCCTTCTTTTCTTCCTTCTCGGCCACTGCCGTCTTGCTTGTCGGGCGCAAGACGAAAGATGCACCGCTGACATTGGAGATACCTCCAGTCATTGCACCCATCTCCATGGCCTTTTTTGGAATGCTGGCCTTGGTAACAAGGAGATAAGGGCTACCCTCAATCTCTACCACACAGTTGTGCCAGGGAGTAGGAATGTGAAGAAGATCACGAGAGGTCATTGGAAACCCGTCGGGCGACAGACCCTCCACAACTCTGACAACTGCAGGGTCGAAGAGCTGAATGCCAAATTTGGGTCCAGCATTGTTGTGACTAAGGAAAGGTTAGTTGCAAGAATAGCGTTGTAAAATGAAGAATACCTACGCATGAATAGAAAGGCGAACATAGTTGGGGAAAAGAAGTTCCACGAGATTGGAATATGCCTGATTGCGCTGCAATTAAGCGTTAGCTTGTGTCCATGTTGGGGGACCACCGTAGAGCAGCCTGTGATTGGACGAGTCTCAGCTTACCATAATCATTTCGAACGCCACCTTTGTAGACAGTTTCTTTTGTTGCGTCCGGGTCATCTTCTGAGTGAAGGGATGAAGCTCAAGGTCTTCCAACATGAAGCGGGAGAATCCACGATATAGCGCCAGGATGGCTGCATTCTGGGACTTGATCTTGGCTCGCACTGCTGATTCCTGAGGCTGGCAGCCAGCCATCAAGATCTGTCGCGAAAGCTCTGCTTCGACTGTGTGGCCAGTTTGAACATGGTGAGCAATTGAAGGAATTCCAATCTTGGCAGCAAGCTCCGAGAGCTTGGTTTGAGGCTTGGTTTCGTTCAACTCAAAGAGATCAACAAGCGACTTGAAACCAACGCGGCTGGTGTTTCCTCGACGAAGACCGACGGCGTGGTTCATTTCCTTCAGCTGCTCGCCATACGTGTCGACATCGGCATCATCAACGCCAACTGACAATTGTTAGACTAGGTCGATATCGAGACAGAATAGGGAGCTTACTGCAATCGCTGAAGACGTGACCGTCACTGATAATCCACAGCTTGGCACCGGGCTGATAAACGCTCTCAATCTCCTCAACAAAGCTATGAAGACGCTCCAAGGCCAGCTGCTCTCCTCTGTCGGGAGCCTTACCGAGGACTTTGTTGGTGTTTGAGGATTTGCAAGGAAAGGCAGGGAGGCAGAGCTCGATGGGGGCCCGCTGCGAGGTGAAGTGCTGAACACGGTCTGAGAAGTAGGCGCGTCCGGTAGCCTCCCACTGGTCATCTTTGCCTTGATACCTCAAGAAACTGTCAAAGAGGTCGACGATCTTTTCTGTGATGGGTGTGGAATCATTCTGAGGCGAGATGATGAGCTCTGGGTCGCGAATAGCAAAGTCAGCTTGGTCGAGGAGTAGTTGAGCAAAGAACTCCTCGAACTGTGTGCTGAGTGTGGATTGCTGGGATGAGCTGTCGATGATGATCCCGGACGTGTTGTTGAACTTGGCGTTGTGCATCTCATACAACCTCAGGCCCTCAAAAGTGCCACTGAGATCTGCAGACCCAAATTGTGCCTCGCCTGTTGCCGCCCGGCTCGGAAGGTAGTGCTCGATCGCGGCCCATTGCTCCTGTACCCTAGCCTTTTGCGGCCCGCTGCAGTACAGCAGCTGTCCCTGTCCATCGTGAACGAAGGCGGTCTGCAAGCGGTGAAAGATTGAATTTCCATCATTTGAGAACTCCATTGTGGTAAGGCAACGAGGGCAGATGGATCGTCTGAAGGTATTATAGAGTGATGAATTAGGTATTAAGGTTTGATGAGTGGGCGGTGAGTGATGTGGATATGAGACGAGGGAAGCTGGAGATATCGGACTGTTATAGTCTTGAAGATGATAGCGAGGATTCGGCCACGCTGGATGCCTTCTTTTCTGTTTGTGTGTTTTGATAGGACGGAACGCGGCCCGGGTGGCACGATGTCGGTGGTGTTTCCCTCCGCTCCAGGACTTTTGATCGGGCTGTGAAATCAAGATGATGTTAGAGAGGGTGTGCCGCAGGCTAACATCAGCAGAATGGATTCAAAAATATCTTGCAAAGGTCGAAGGAACCGATGATGCCCGAAGAAATGGGCTTCTTCAGCAGAGAAGTGCAGCTCGAAGCCTCAAAGTCAGTCCACACGCAGGAAAATATGGGATGACCGAGCGATCTGAGTCGAGGCTTTGCCAAACTTGGAAAGCGAGCGAGGAGGCTTGCCGCCTGCGTAGTACATGCACGGCAGCAGGGCTCGGTCTTGGGAGGCGGGACTAACATGGTGCTTGCAGAATTGGGCCCCAGCAATCGAGAGTAGAAGGAGCATTTCGCCATGGAAGGGCCCTCATCGACCACCGCAGACACCGGTGGTAGGCAGGTGCAGCGCCAGGGTCACACAACTCCATCGCACTGGTACAGGTACAGGTACAGGTACAGGCTTGGGCTGTACAGGCAGCATCGTGACCGGCCCCCAAACGCTCGCCCTGGTGAGAAGTCATCGCACTTGCAACGACAGCGAGGCGGGTGGAAATGCTGCGATTGGCTCGTTGGTGTGGGCAGGCTCGGCGTGGTCGACATTCCAGGACCAAAGACGGGGACAGGGACTGTTCCAGCAGTTCTTGGCAAACCTACGAATAGAACAAAGTTCTTCCTCTGTGAAGCGTGTAAGATTCCATCGTCAAGCATTGATAATTGCGCCATTAAGATCAACTGCAAGCAAAGCCCCCACTACCTTAGATGCAGGCATATTTACCCTTGCGCTAAGCTGACAAGCGCCTAGACCAGCTGGTCGCGAGCCCGCCCTCGGTACGAAGTTTCTCTTCTGGACAAGCCTGTCAAGAGTCTTGACTGGGATGCTCCGTCGGTGGTCCGGCCCTGCCAACAGAGCCATCCAAGCGCTTTTTCTCCCACAGCCCTTCTTGACCGAGCGTGCAGGCAAAGGCAAGTAAGCACTTTCTTATTTCGAATTTACGAGATTCAGCAGCCCGCCGCAGCACTTGCACCAACAAATGGCGCGGTTTACTTGGCGCGTTGCTGCGTCCGACTGAACTGCGACCAGCAGAGTTACATAGCCCGTCCTGTTGTGCGAGTTGTCGTATCTGTACATCTGGGCAACTCTGATTGGCCGATACCCGCTTAATCGGATCCTAGGAAGGATCCAGTTCCCCAACCACATATCAAGATGCCTGTCGATTAATTTAGAAGCTTAATCCTAGTCCCCGTCGTCTGTGGGGTTCGGACGAGCCTCTAGTCAGTTTAGTCAAGGTACCGCTACTCAACAGCACTGACACTGTCACAGAATTATTTCCGCGAGAAAGGAAGCTCTCTGGGGAACACGAAGCCTAAATTATTCTACTCATTTAAACAAATCTATGCTGAAACCGACCGTTGCAAATCGACCATTATCGCGTTTACTGATTCACGCTTTTTCCGTCGTCTCTCGCTCTCTCCGTAAACACGAGCTTCAGAGCTCTGGGGTACAATGGTCCTGCCTGCAATTACTCGTCAGCGATCCCCATGTAAACTTGCTCAACCGCATGCGTAGATAAGCGGAACCCAAATCACCAACCGCATGGGGGCGGGGATCGGGCCCGAGCAATCAAGCGATCGAGGAGGAGGAACTGGACTTACGGGTGTCATTCTTTCCACCCACATCGGGTCCAAACACCAGCGGAACTCGCGGATAAGTTGCACAAGAGTCATCCGCATCTCGAGCATGGCAAACTTTTCGCCAAGACATGCGCGTTTCCCGCCATGGAACGAGATGAATTCGCCCCTCGCCCGTCGCCGACGGTAATTCTGGTGGATCTCTTCCGAGGCCGTTCCCCACCGCGCAGGACTGAACTTCTCGCAATCCGGCCCCCATGCCACGGGGTCGCAGTTTGTTGACCGACAGTGGTAGCCAAGATATATTCCTGTTTTGTGGTCAGATTTTCTGCTCCAGGCTGCCGAGGAGAACTTGGATGCATACCCTCAGGAACAACCAACTCGCTGCCTAGCAGGCATGAAGCTGCGGCTCTGCGGTTGATGAGCTGACCGATTGGTGGAAAAAGGCGAAGGCATTCGTAAATGACTGAGGTGAGGTAAGGCATGTCTTCTTGGCTCAGATCTGATAATGGAGTCGCATCCTTGGAAAGGATTTCGCGTAGCAGCGCCTCTTGCGCCTCCTGCAATGCCGGTCAGTAATCTGAGTCAGATCGCGTGCTTTTGGGGGCGAGATGCGGCGCCCACTAGGACAATACTGACAGGGTGTTTGGCCAACACGTAGAGTGTTGAAGTCATCAACAGCTGAGGATTCTCTTGACCAGCCACGAACGTCACCGTCAAGTTATCGAGAAGCTGTTTCTCGTTCCACATGCCAGACTCCCATGCACGTAGCATTCGGCTGCCTAGACCGTCCCCTGTCGGTTTCTGGTGGGCCAGAGAACCTTTGAGCTCGTTCTTGAACTTGGCAACAACCTGACGGGCCTTGGCGCGACTGGGAAACAGCCATTGGAGATTCGGATGATCCAGAATCGGAAAGTTCATGAAAACAGGCTTGAAGATTTCTCTCTTCACCGCCGTCTGGAGGAGATTGATGGGTGCATCTGGGGAATCAAGGGCCTACATGGAAGACTGCGGTCAGCGATATCCCTGCAACATCAGACTTTGAACTAGAGCCAATCAAACCTACACCGAGATTGGTCTGCAAGATGGCTTCCGAGCAATTCGCGACCGAGTAGCGCTGGAGGAGATCCTGCACAGCGAAGCCCCCACGGCCGGCCCGCTTTTGGGAATCGCGAAGGAGATGGCACAGGCTGACTGCGTTCTTGGCGATGATGCCTACTTCGAAATTTCGTTGCAAAGCGGGCTTGATGACTGATTGGTAATTCTTCCACGTCTCTCCATGGGCAGAAATGATGTTGTCGCCTGATTGTAGTGAGCATACGTGTGCGCGACGGCGTGGCCTGGGGGAATGCTTACCCAAAAAGTCTGCAAGCACGCTGTGAGGAATTTTCTTCTGGTTGCCGCTCTTTTGATACAAATCTTCGTTCTTGAAGATCTCAGTCAGATAAGACGGACGATGAACCAGAATGTTCCACTGAGCGCCAAAGAAGAGCTTGACCGCGCCGTGAGTCCGTAGCGGCTTGTCGATGTATGTCCGAAATATGTCGGACTGGTCGACATCTTTGAAAAATGGGATAAGTGCAACCCAAAAAGGGATGGCGGGAATATTCTGGGGGTATTTTGGAGGTAGGAGAAAGAAGTAGTAGAAGCCTCCGAGGACCACAGCCCCGAGGAACAGCAATTCCGCAAGAAAAAAGAGCATGATGTCTGGCTTGACGTCTGTAGTTCGTAAGTCAGCAGTCGGAAACGCGAAGCTAATAAGTTTATAAGTCGGGTCCGAACGGAAACCCTGGGGAACAAAAGAAAGGAGTAGAGATGATAAACTCACGGACTTAGATGAGACCGTCGTCGCCGAAACGAGTGCCTATCTTTTCTTCTTCTCAGCCCTACCAACCAAGAACAACTCAGCAGCAGCCTACGCTTAGGGCTGACGTTTGGGTGAGCAAAGGCCCAGAATCAGAAATGAACACAGACGAGTGGCTTTGCTGTCTCCCCAAAATAGGCTGCAGATGGTTGGCTGGTGTTTTGGGCGTGCTTGCGAGCACAGTTGTACATCAGAGACGCCGTGTAAGTTGGAAGGCTCAACGCACATAAGTCTCCCAGGGGCTGTGCGACGGTCTGCAGGACAGCAGGCAGGCGACCGATAGGCCTCTTGGCGAATTGCAGCGGCAACAGCAAGGGCCTGGTCGCCGTCGGGCACTTTTCGCCTGGAATGAGGCTTCCATGGACTTTCCCAAGGAGGTTTGGCTTAAGGTAGGTTGTGGTTGGGATGATGGAAAGCACAGGCACAGGCACAGGCACTGACTGACACAGGCACGGGCGTTGGTGCGGTGTTGCAGATACGGCCTGCAATGTACCGGTACTTTGGGCGGAGCCTCTCCACGCACCTGCACACTGCCGCACTCCTTCGGCGGCTGATTGGCAGTGGGAAGGATTTCGTCCAGGGTTTGTGGTTGCATCTGACGATCTGCGCGCACCATGCCAATTACAAGTTCTTGGGCCGGCGAGAGCGATCTCCTTCATATGAAGTCAATTCACCGCTGTAAATACCCCCGCTGGGGAACATGATCATCCAGCATCACTTCATTTCACCCTCTTTCTACATCGCTTTTCAGACTTGGCGGAACTTTAGGATTTCTTCTTGATTTAGCCATCATCTTTTCCCACTTATTGATTCTCTGATTGTTGTTGTTGTTCCTTCCCCTCCGAACGCACAACATGGCAGACCCCAGCCCAACAAGTTCTGGGACCACAACCCCCATCAAGCCATCTCCTGCCTCGCAAGACTTACCCACTGCTGATCTTGCACCATTACCACTTTCTCAACCACAACCACAACCTCAAGCTCAAGCCGCAGCAGACCCTGAGAAGAAGGCTGGTGCACCTCCGGCGTACACGGCCTTTTCCCCATGGCGCAAACGCTTCATCTTGACCGTGGTCACCATCGCAGGTTGCTTTGGTCCCCTCGCAGGCAACATCTATCTGCCAGCGTTGCCTGTGTTGGAGAATGAATTCAATGCCAGCGCAACAGCCATCAACGTGTCCGTGTCAGTCTTCATGCTGACATTTGCCATCGGTGTAAGTGCTCCAACCTTTCATGACATACCTCAGTAGGCTAACCAGATCAGCCCCTCTTCTGGTCGAGTTTTGCCGACTGGAAGGGTCGCAGGTCATTGTACATCATCTCCGTCGCCATCTACATTGTTGCCAATATTTTGCTTGCTGTAGTGCCGGCGAATTATGGAGCTTTGGTGTTCTTGCGCATTGTCCAGGCTTTTGGATCCGCCGCTGTGGTGTCGATGGGTGCTGGAACAGTTGCAGATGTTAGTACCTCATTTACACTTTCGTTCTATCCTCATGATTCTGACTAATTGCGTAGGTCACTGAGCCAAAGAAACGTGCGACAGCAATGTCCATATTTCTGATCGGCCCTCAATTGGGTCCCGTTTTGGGTCCTGTGCTTGGAGGTGCCCTCAATACCGCCTCTTGGCGCTGGATCTTTGGCTTCCTCGGTGAGTACAGCCAAGCTTGACTGCGGGCAAACGTAAACTAATAATGTTGTTCACAGCAATCTCGGGCTTTGTCCTCTGGCTTGTCATTATTTTCTCACTCCCCGAGACTCTCAGGGCGAGGGTGGGAAACGGAAAGCTGTATACCGATTCCCGTGTTATCTTCTTTCCTCCGAGATTGTCCTCGCCTCTGGCTCCTGAGTCAGAGAGGGGCCCCGCACCGCCCAAGCCAACTCTTCTCGGATACTGGAAGCTATTCTCCTACCCTCCCATTGGCATTGTCACATTCAACACAGCCATGCTGTACTCGACATATTTCGCCATTGCCGTGCAGCTCCCCACCGAGCTTTCAGACCGTTACAACTGGTCCACCGCTGGCGTCGGCGCAGGTTTCCTGGCTGTCGGTGTCGCCATGATTATTGGCTCTATGATCGGTGGTCGCGTGTCAGACTGGAGACGTGCGCGTGCCGTCAAGGCATCCCCGGACAATCACGTCGACCCCGAAAACAGATTGTCAGATCAGATCTGGGGCGTCCTGATCTGTGCCGGTGGATGTTTGATGTACGGCTGGCTTGTCGACAAGTCAATCCATCCTGCCGCTGTCCTTGTCGCAACATTCCTGAGTAAGTACCCCCTCGAACGCTCTCAGAGTTTGCTCGATGATCTCGGGGCTGACACTGTGCGACTACAGCTGGCTTCGGCATGAACTGGGTGTTTGTGGCCACAACAGCCTTTTTGACCGAGTGTGTCCAACAACAGGCTGCCGGTGCCTTCGCTCTCGGAAACATGCTCCGCAATCCCGGTGCTGCTATTGCAGCCCTCGTGATCCCATCTCTTGTTTCAAAGATGGGCAACGGATGGTGTTTCACTGGTCTGGCGCTTCTTGACCTTGTGCTTGTCGGTTCAGCAGTAATTGGTGAGTCTTGTTGCAACGACGAAGTATCCTACACAAATTGCTGACAAACTGTAGTTCTGCGGATAAAGTCTCCAGGATGGAGAGCAGCACGAAAGGCCAGGATGGCTGCTATGGCAGCAGCAAAGCAGGGCGGTCCTAAATAATATTTAATAACGATTTACGACGGAAATTTATGAAATGGATGAACAGCACAGCACAGATAGACTTGGGATTTTGAGGTACTAGTCATTCAGACTCAATTTGTAGTATTTAATACAACACCAGAGCTTCTCCATAAGTCAATTGATACTTGCTTATTAACTATTTTAGCAAGTAAACGTTTTATTTAAGTCTTGAACTCATGGGGCATTCTATTTGGTACAGTTTCGCTCAAAATTAACTAATAGTGACTTTCTCCACAAACGTGTTCATGATGTTGCCTAATATCGCTTGCAAAGTAGTTGCTTCTTTTAAAATAAAGTAGAGAAGGAGTTCACTCAAGCGACGTCATAGCGCCAGCCAATTCAGCAGTTTAAATGCGTGTTAATTCCTCTCAAAGCCTGTTTTGTAACTAAGGTAGACGGATTGTAGAACTAATCTTAGTTCGAAAGAAAAAGAGAGGAATGAAAATTCCATTTATATCATTTTAGTTCGTAATATGCAGCTGTTGTGAAGTCAGCGATCATTTGGAAGCCGCGAAGTTACGTGAAATACAGCTAAGAACTTTTGAAATTGCAATCCTCGCAACGTAATGGTCCGTGGAAAGATCACACTAAAGCGAAGGATGTACATATAACAGAGATCTCTTATTAGAACGGCAAGAGGAATTTAAAATATGTTTTACAGAAAGATCTGCTCTATGATTTTAGGTTTATATATATGTATTTTTTTTTTTTTTTTGAATCATTGTACGTATGGACAGAGTTGAGAGTAACTCTTCGGGGGTATGACTGCGGCATGATGTAGTACTGGAACATAATGGTTCTGAGTGAATTACGCATGTCTTTTTTGTGTCGGTGCTTTTCTGTACATTTCACGTGTGGGCATACTTGCAAATGGACGAGCTAAGAGCAACTGGCCGACTTTGGGCTCGAGTCCCTGAGGTTCTGACAATCAGCAATATTGCGAGGTCAGAACTACGCCGCATACTTATCTTTGAAGACTTTTGCGCATGTTCAAATGCAGTCGAAAAACGTAAGCCATCAGACAATCGTCAAAGTAGTTCTTAATGTCAAGATGACTCGTAAGACGGCTGCTAGTTATGTGGAACTTAGAAAGTCATTGAATTTCCAACCCAGCCGTAAGCTTCTCGAGAGATTTTCAAACAATCATGCCATCACATGAAGTCTTTGGGATGAAGTTTATCAATTACTAGACTTACACTCACCTCCAAACTGGTCACAAACCTCCCGAAATCACCAGACCCAAAATACCTGACTGCTCACGTTCCAAGTCTCAGACAAACGACCCGACGTTACACACACGACATAACCGCCTACGCACCCCGGCCGCCCAGACTTCCACCTCCCAAAGAACCACCGAGAAGCGCGCCGGTGGACAGCAGGAAGGTCAGCAGACCGACGCCAGACCGAAACCCAACCAACCAACCAAACCCAACACCCAGCCTGCCGTCGATACCATCCAAGATTACGACCCTGCGAGAAGACATACCGAACATGAAGCAAGCTAGTCTCAGTTGAACGCACGAAAACACGGTTTCTGAATCCGTCCCCATCTGTCTCCCAGTCCCACATTTTCTCCCATCGCACGACATTAGCCACCCCCGGGCCCCCGGAACGCTTCGCTCTTGTCTTCACCAGACCTGCAAGACACACTCACGCGAGAGAGGGGAACAGAAAAAAGCAAAGAAAGGAGGCCCTGCAGCCTCGACAAAATGCCCATATCGAGCAATCCTTACGAGAAATGTCCTGCCATGTATGTGGGGGTCACACAGATACGTGCGTATCGCAACCCAAATGTGGTCTTCTAGAACGTCTTCCCGCGTCTCTTTCGTTCGTTCGTTCCTCCCACGGGCGGGGTGGCGGCGGTGCAGGTGATGGTGGTGGTAATCACTGGCATCGCGGCTCGCTGACTGGGCGAAGCCGCAGATGGGACCCCCCCTTGCCGTATTTGCTTTTTCCTGCAGCCCCGGCGGAAGGACGGAAGATGCGCGGTGCAGGATAACAGCGCAAAAAAGGTGCATGTCCAATCTGCGCAATTCACCAATGGGCGCCTGCAAGCCTCTTTCTCGTTCAATCGGTTCGCGTATGCAAGCCATCGATCACCCGTCACGGTTACGTCCTCCCACATCTTTCTCCTTCTTCACCGCCTCGACTCCCGGATATTTGGGGTGGCAGCCTTTTGCCCGCCTCAACAGACGCATCCCCAGGTGAGAGGGCTTAGACTAAAAGGCTTGGTTGACGAAACGGAAAGGCTGCACTTTGCAGTATGCGAGAAGAGGCGCTGCAGGGCGCTTCATTTCCTGTTACGGTTTACGTACGTCTACTGAGATGCATATGTACAAGACGTGTCGGACGCTGATCCGAGATCCCACTTCCCATCCATCTCTCGGCCGCAAGGTGAACCCATTGGCTGCGAACTGCTGTCGACCGCCCTGCAGAGCACCCAAAACTTGGTTTTCAACAGAAGGGCTTGCCAGCGTGGACACTCTAGCAAGGGGAAGCGCTTTGGTTAGGGCAACGGGCATGCGACTTTGACAGGCTTCCCGGATGTCCATCCCGCGCCGCGCCGCGCATCGCAATCCGGCGATGCATGGTAGCAGCCCTGCGAAAGAGTTCTTTGTTGTCTGGGATGACGATCAGGGAAGACCGGGGCGACCGGGAAGACGAGGGGAGGGAAGCAAGGGGAACACGAGGGGTGAAGAGCTGCCGCCACGATGCGGCCACGAGACAGCAGGGCATGGCGGCAAGCAAGGTGGTTGCGGTTGCGCACTTGCAGGCCCGCGGGGGACCAGGGTGATTAGCTTCCGGGGACGTTTCATCGCAACAGCGGCGGCGACGACATGACGGGATAGTAAGGCGTGGGACGTGGTGTATTTGTAAAGGAGGAGCGAGACCAACGGCGGAAGCATGACTTGCGTCTCCCCGTTGCCAAGTTGCCGGGGGAGAGTCGGGGCCAGCCGGGGGACTGGGGACGCCGGGATGGCGGTTACGGCCGCAGACTAACGTATGCGGTCCCCCCATGGAATGGCGATGCGGCTGCAAGAAGGGAGAAAGACGGGGGAGGGCGTCTGGGTTTCAACGTCGTTCTATCGTCCGTGCCGTGCGGCCGGGGATGCATCTTGCTACTTCCCAGTTCCCAGTCGTCAACCCCAGTCCGCAGCACTCAGGGACCCAGACGTACGGCCGTTGCGATTGCAGGGCCCCCTCACATCGAGCTCTGAAGGACTTCATTGGCCCGATCATCGCTCACGCCCCCTCCTGCTCTAACCTCCGTGAAGTGTCGAGACGAACAGGATATTGTCACCGCTCCGAACTTCATACGCCTCCTCTCCCTCGAGCTCCCAATCTGCGTCATTGATGAGAGCCAGGATGCCCGGCCGACTAGAAAAAGACCGCGTTAGCGTTGCACCCGATTCGCATGAGGCATGAGATATGGGGTTTGGTGATATTCGGGAAGGAGTGGCGATGCGTCTGCGCATCTTGCATGGCTCCCCCCTGGCGTTGGGGTGTGAATATGAAGTTCAGAGACAGCGATGAGGTTGAAGATGATGTGCGAGAACGCAGGAGATGCTGAAGGATGGAGACCCGGGGATGTGATGAGACTCTGGGACGTACAGATGACCATCGAGGACGAAAAGCTCCTTCCTGGTGTCCTTCATGGTGTTCTCGCATAGATAGTCAATCAGAAAGGCAATGTTTGCGGGCTTGCCGTCCTTGTTCACCGCCGGAATGGAGAGCGAGTGACGCCTCTCGTCGGAGAAGAGCATCTCCAGGCCGCCGCTGCAGGGAGCTTGTCAGTGATGCATTTGTACCTGAGCAACATGCACGCGCGATTCCAGATGAGGTCCGTATCCGAGTCATCCTCGTGGCAAGGTCTCAGGCAAAAACGTTCACGAGGAAGAAACGGTTTCTGGAAGAGCACAGCGTTATGGAAGGACGGGCATGAGAGAGGGACGCACGAGAACTCCACGACCAGGCTGATCTTCTTCTCCTCCCCCGCATCTGCAGCGTTGGTCGCCATTTCTTCTTCCTCGGGCTTTGGTAATATGTGACGGTCAAAAATGCCGGCACGCAGGCGACGTCGGAGAATAGATGAGGAAAATGAGATGTAATCACAATAGAGTTTGTTTGTCCTTCAGGCACGGACGATGTACGAAGGATGAACTGGGTGCAGTTGTTGGTTTGGTAGGGGTTTTTTCAGACGGGGGCCGAACAGGAGCAGGCACAGGGCAGTCCAGCGGCAGTAGACCTCGACTGCTGCTCGGCGTCAGTGGAGCCAACGGTGCGGCGGCGGCGCCACCACCCACCGGGCGGCTGCCACCCCTCACTCACTTGGGCACACTAACAGCTCTGGGTAGGCCGCTGTAGCGTAGCGCGCTGTAAGCTCAGGGCGCCGCCGTAACCCCCCCGCCCCCACCACGAAAATTTCAACTTCACCTCTTGACTCTCGCTCGTGAGCCAATCACAACGTCGTATTTGGTCAACCCAAAGACTCACTCGCCTGCCCTGCGCAACAACGCTGCGGGACAGACAAGATGACTACTATTCAACCATCCATCGAGTACCTGTCTACGGGAGCGAATAGACAGACTGCTGCCGCTGACTGGAGTCCATGCGGCCTGCTCGCCTTCGGTGCTGACTCCAATATAGCCCTGTGGGCGCCTTCTGTACGCTGTATCGTCCCTCTGTCTGAGAGCCTCTTGACTGATAAAGAAGTAGTCTGAAAATGCAGAGGGTATCACGACCCTTCTGAGTGGGCATAAAGAGGTTGTGAAAGCAGTCAAGTTCCTTCCTCAAGCACAAGGCGAGGACCGCAGGCTCATTATCAGTGGTTCCGATGACCAAACACTGAAGATCTGGGCTCTGGACCCCAAGAACAACCAAGGAGAATGCATTCAAACGATACAAGAGCACACTGCGCCTGTAAACTGCATAGCAATCTTGAAGTCCAGAAGCACGCCTAAGAAAGTTTTCCTGGCTTCAGGGGCTGCTGATGCAACCATAAAGATCTGGGAGTTTACCTCAGGCCAACTACAGCTCCGCCAGACCATCAAGTCCGCGCCGAGATATTTCCCGTTATGCCTGGCGCTGACGGCCTTGGATGAAGCTGAGGACGTCTTTGTTCTGGCAGCTGCCGGGACCAAGACCTTCATCCAGATTTTCATGGCTACCGGCGGCGAAGACACCATCAACTTCCAACTCCAGGCGACTCTGTCCGGCCACGAGGGCTGGATGCGGTCTTTGGATTTCACATGGGAAACCTCTGAACCAAACAGCGATATTCTGCTAGCCTCAGCAAGCCAGGACAAGTACGTCAGGCTCTGGCGCCTCCATCAGGGCAAAGAACTTCCCTCCCTCGCAGTGGAGGGTTCGGACCCTTCCAGTGGTGCCTACCTCCCTGGCAGGTCACCATCCAACAAAGCCCACCGCCTACAATCCGGCGGCAAAGATTTCTCCATTACTTTCGAAGCTCTTCTTCTTGGTCACGAAGACTGGATCTACAGCGCAAGATGGTTCACCCGCGACTCCAAGCTCCAACTCCTCTCTGTCTCCGCAGACAACTCCCTCGCCATGTGGGAGGCCGATGCCACCTCCGGCATCTGGGTCAGCATGGTTCGTCTTGGTGAGATCAGCAGAGAGAAGGGTGCGACGACGGCGACAGGCAGCATTGGCGGCTTCTGGACGGGTCTTTGGGGTCCGGATGGTAAGTCTGTTGTCTGCCTCGGCCGCACGGGCAGCTGGAGACGTTGGGTGTACTGCGAAGAGCGTGATGAGTGGCAGCCCGCAGTCGCCATCACCGGCCATACGAAGAACATCACGGGCATCGCTTGGTCGCGGGATGGAGACTACCTCATGTCCACAAGCTCCGACCAGACGACCCGCCTCCATGCGCGGTGGAAGAGGGATGCCGCTGCCGGGCGTTCATGGCACGAGATGTCCCGGCCGCAGATTCACGGCTACGACCTCAACTGCATCGACACTCTCGGCGGCTCCCAATTCGTGTCCGGCGCGGATGAGAAGCTCATGCGTGTTTTCAGTGAGCCCCGCGCCGTGGCACAGATGCTGCAGACTCTTGGTGGTATCCAGACGGTGACGGAATCGATGCCCGACGGTGCGAACATGCCTGTCTTGGGCCTCTCCAACAAGGCCATTGATGCGGTCGACGACGACGTGGAGGTTGAGGCTGACAGCCATTACGACCGCGACGCCATCGACCCTGCCACGATCGTCCGCAAGTCGATGCTCGACATCGACCACCCGCCCTTTGAGGAGTCGCTCTCTCGCCACACTCTCTGGCCCGAGACGGAGAAGCTGTACGGCCACGGCTACGAGATTTCGTGTCTCGCGGCCAGCCACGATGGCAAGCTGATTGCTAGTGCCTGCAAAGCGAGTTCGCTCAACCACGCCGTCATCCGCATCTTTGAGACGGAGCGCTGGACAGAAGTCAAGCCGCCGCTGGCTGCGCATACTTTGACAGCCACTAGGCTTCGTTTCTCCCCTGACGACCGCTTTCTTCTTAGTGTCGGACGTGACAGGCAATGGGCTGTCTTCCAACCGGACGAGCAAGAATCTTCCAAGTACGAGCTCCTCCAGACAAATCCGAAAGGCCATACCCGTATGATTCTTGACGCCGCCTGGGCTCCATCCACAGATGCTAGAGTGTTTGTCACGGCAGGACGTGATAAGAAGGCCAATGTTTGGGCTAGCAAAACCCAAGATGGTGGCAAGACGGAGTTTACGCTCGCATCGAGCATCGCATTCGACGGCCCCGTCACGGCTGTCGACTTCCTCGGCAGACTAGGCCCCGGAGGTGAACTGATCCTTGCGGTTGGCACAGAGTCAGGGAAGATTTCCATCTATACCTTGGCCCCTGAGAGCTTCCAATCGACTGCAACACTCCAACTGGCACCGCAGTAAGTTTCCCCTATGAATGCCCAACATCACCCACCTAATTCTGTTTAGATTTTGCCTTCCCAAACCAGTCGCCCAGCTCTCATGGCGCCCGTCAAAAAGTCCAGATGCCAGACACGAACTGGCCATCGCGGGCGAAGATAGCTCCCTGAGGATATACAGCTTCACCAGCCTTAGCGCACCAAGCCCAACAAACGAATGAATCCAACTCCCTTGCAAGGGTAGGCTTTTCCATTGAGATCTATATATGAGGGTATGATTAAACATGCGTCGCCGCATGTACGAGTTTTATATTAGTGTCGTCCAACTGGTCCGCATAACCAAAACCAAAAACGCCTACACGTATCACGCATGCCACGGCTAGCCCCACGCCAACACGCCCTTCGAGCTCTTCATCAGACGTTCAGCACTGCCGCTAATATTACTCTGCTTCCCCTCTTTCTCATCCATCACTTCGTCATTCCCGTAGTCGACATCATGCCATGATTGCTCGTGGGGGCAAGGAACAAAAAGCCTGATTACAGCTCCTTGACAATCTCAACCGTCTCCTTGGCGAGCGCAGCCGCCGCCGTCGTAGTCGACTCGGACATCAAACTCTCGACCGCGGCCTTGGTGACCTCCACCGCGGCGACGACCGCATCGATCGGGTCGCCGTGCATGTAGAACCACGCGCGGTTCAGGATGAAGGCGATGTGCTGGGGGAGGTACAAGATGGTCGCGATGATGGTCAGACTGCTGAGGAGGAAGAGGAAGGTGTCTGTTTGTCGCGCGCGAAGCTTTGGTTAGCCAACCCGGATAGTTCGGTATGAAATGACACCATGGATCTTGGGGGCAAAAAGGGGGTAGAACGCCGAAGCACGGGTTAGACTATAGAAACGTACAGAAAATGAACTTCTCAAGAGGCGTGAAGATGTACACGCTGAAGGTGACCTCAATCTGGTACTGCTTCAGGTGCAGCCACTTGCTGAAGGACTGGAGGGCCGACAT